GGGGGAGAATGAAGAATTAGTGCTTAACGGGCAGAGTTGCAGCTGTGGGAGATGGAAACATTCTGGAGATGGTGGTGATGGCCACACAACGTGAGTGTACTTAATGCACTGAAACTTAAAAATGGTGAAACTGTCCACTTAAAATGGTTAAAATGGTACATTTTATGCTATATATATCCTCCCACAATGGAAAAAACCCCACAAAAACCCTTTATGAGGTGGCTCCTGACTCTTCCTCCTCTCAGCTGGTCCCGGAGACCCACCCTTTGTTCCAGCCACACATCCTGATGTCTCTGGGTCTTTGCTCTAGCTGTCCCCGCTGTCTGGAACATCCTGTACCCCATTTTTCTGCCTGGCTATTTGCTGCCAATCATTCTGGACTTGGTCCAAGCATCGCCTCCATGGGACGCCTCCTTGGGCCAGGCCTCCTACCCCCAGCCTGGGGGCTCGCACAGCCCTGCTCACCCCACGACAGCGCTTCCCCAGCCCGCGTCTGCCCAGCTCTCACGGTCAGGGAAAGTCTGTGCAGAAGAGGGACCGGCATGGGGGAGCCTGGCTGGCACAGGAAGGTGTATTTCGGGTCTGGAGCCCGGCCCTACCCTGCAGGGGGACCTGACTCATCCCAGCGGGTTATGCGCGAGTGACTCAGGGCTTTCTAGGAGGGGGCCCCCTCTGCTGTGTCTGTGCACCTCCCGGTGGTGTGGGAGGCGGCTCCACAAGCAGGTCGCCCTCCTTCTCAGATAAACGCCTGCTGGGCAGGCCCGGCCCCAGGCCCCAGCAGCTTACCACGTTCTTAATGATTTCATCCTTGCCGTCCTGCCTCTGCACTTTCAGCAGGTGGTAACAGAAGTCGAACAGGTCGAAGCGGCGCTGCTGGCCCAGCAGGACAATGATGGAGCAGCCAGCCCAGTTCAAGCCATCACCAAAACACTGCCTGGAAGCAGGGAGAGGAGGCAGCTGGGGTGAGGCGGGGGGGAGGCGGAGGGGCCTCATCTTGGACCAGGAGCACTGCTACTGAGCAGCCGGTCTCTGGGATAATTCTCTTAATTTGTGAAATGGGTATAAGGGAAGCTGTAGATTCATTTGTTCTAGGGACTGTAGTTATATTATAAGCCCTTCTAACTACAAAGAAGTGTCAGCCTCTTGCCCCCCTGATGTAAGAAAAATCACCTTTAATGAAGACAAATTTGCAAGAAAAAACCCCAAACAGTCCTTGCAATTTATGTGGCTGATTATTTCAAACAAGTCAAAGAAGAATCTGTTTTGGCCCCACAGAGGAGTCAGGGAGCCCCTGTGAGGGAAGAGCCCTTTTAAACCAGGAGACCAACTGGCCAGTGCAGGCTGGGAGGGCAGGGATGGGGCATGGGGGGCCCAAGAGCAGTTGCTGCTGGGGTGAGGGGTGGGGGCTGCAAGTCCTCTTGGGTCGGGTAAAGTTCAGTCTGCGTGCCCCCAACTCTCAAGGGCAACTCGGGCAATCTGGGAGGCTGTGGGTCCATCTCTGCCGTCTTTCTTGTCGGCAAGCAGCAGCTGCAGCCCCGCCCGGGCAGGCTTCCCGCTGCCCCCCCGCTGTGGCTGAAGTGCAGCCCCAGCTGCTGCTCTGGAAAGAGCCTTCCCACCCCAGTCCCACCAGCACTTCCCCAGGGACCCTGCTCAGGCCCTGGTGTGCTTTGGCTCCTGAGCTCTTGGCTCTTCGGGGGCGGCCTTTTTTGCTTTCTTTGCCACTCTGTTCAGGTGTGCAGCTGGGCAAGAGGAGGAAGAACTGGATTCTACTTCAGTCTCCTCTGAGGACAGGAGTAGGTTACTCTGAAAGGCCCCCCATTTTTCAGGGTTGGAGGCTAAGAGCCAGGGCACCACAAACAAGTTAGGGCCTGAGCTCTGCCAAGGAAGACTTTCTCTGTTCTATGAACCCTGCAGCTTTGTGGGGGGTGAGGAGGCAGTGAGGTCCTTAATGCCAAACCCCCACCAGGGCTCCTGCCTGCCCATTCCATCAGCCCAGCTTCTGTCTCAGAAAGACAAGGCCCCATGAGGTCCGAAGTCCCCATATGCATAGGTTCATCTCTGCCTCTAGCCATGCGTTGCCTTTCCTGGACTGTCCCCCTCTTCCCGCTAAGATCTGAATCCCAGCGATGTTCAAGGCTCAGTTCTAGTCTGTGAATTAAATTCTCATAACCCTCTCTTCTCAGTCACCTGTCACCCTTTCTGCCCTTGCTGTGGAGCCGTCTCATTCAATGTGCCTTATGTCTCTCCATAGACCCCTTAATCCCCTCAAGGCCGGGAACCGTCTAATTTTGCTCAGCATTGGTGTAGGTCCAGCACCTCACACAGTGACTGGCATATAGTATGTGCTCAATAAATAGTCATTGGACAGCCCTGCCCCTGTCTACCACCTTTCTGGCTGGGCTCTGACAGCCTGATGCCTCCTGGGGGGTCAGCAGATTGGAGGTGACCTGCCTTCCCTGGGGGTACTCACTCAGCTGTGAACTCGTTGGTCCCCACGGGGATGCAGTAGACAAACTGCATGGCGCTCCACAGCCGGTGGAATTCCACACACTCATCAACGTGCATGACACCGTTGGTGGGCGGCGGGCCCCGCCAGATGGGGTCCTGTAGGTAGCTCCGAATGCGGGTCAGGATGACCTCGAACATGGACAGGCCACAGCACAGCCGCTCCTTGGTCAGCAGGTCACCCTCCCGAGCGATGGCGATTTGCTGGGGATAGAAGGGCATATAAACCGTCTATCTACGTCTCAGGTCCTGTCTTCCACCTCTCACCAGGGACTCCTAAACCCTGGAGCTGGCTCGAGGGTTAGAGCAGGGCACTAACTTTATAAACCTGAGGGTAATAGCAGAAAAGTCTGGTGGTAAGTAGAGTCTAGGAGCCATCAATAGAAGAACAGTTTTAAAGAGCTTCAATATACCCATGTAATGAATGAAATGTTAGGGAGACACTGAAAATACTGAGATCCTATGAAGAATATTATTGCCACTACTGTGCTGTTATGACTACTAGCTCATACTCCCGAGTGTGTAACACACCAGGCCCTGCTCTAAGCACTTGATAAGTACTGATTCCATTTATTCCTTACACCAACCCTGTGAAGTATGTGCCATTATTACGCCCATTTTACAGATGAAGAAGCTAAGGTTCAGGGAGGCAGCCAGTGATGGGTACAGTGAGGATCTGAATCCTGGTAGATCTGTGGGTTAAACTGTTAAGCTAATAGAGCAAGTTGCAGAAAAAGATGCATACTATAATCCTATTAAAAGGCATCAATCACACACACCCACAGACAGACATACACTACTATACGTGGGATATGTGGAAAAACATTTTAGAAGGATTAACATCAGTTGTGGGAGCAGACGGGCTTGGAGAAGTAGGTGAGATTTTCACTTTTTACTTTAAATACCTCTGTACAGTTGAATGTGTTACAATGAGCATATGTTACTCTTAAAATGTGCCACCGAATTCACAGAATTATTTCCTCCAGCTAGAATTCCTCTGACTGTTGTAAATGGTCTCTATTAATAATGTAAACTGGCTTTTCATCTGGCGTCTGGTTATTGCATCTCCGATCATCCGCTGGCTAGACAAGCACAACAAAACACAATACGGTCTGCGTGATGAGTAAAAATATCTAGCGGTAGAGCCTCAAAAGCCATGTGCAAAGTAAGATAGATAGATAGATAGATAGATAGATAGATAGATAGACAGACAGACAGATAGATAGATAGATAGATATTAAAATCTAAGGTCAAAGTAAGGTCTCCAGATCTACAGACAGAGGTAAAGAGGGCAGCTGCTAGGACCGAGAGACCCACAGGGCACTTGTGGGACTGGCTCCCCAGATGGTGGTCTCCCGGAGAGCCTGAGCTAATGGGGGCAGGCCAGCCTCAAGAGAAGCTGGGCCCCTGGATGCCTGTCTGTGCGAAGGCCCTCATACCCTCCCGAGTACTCCATCATCATTCAGAGAAGCTCTCTGCCAACCGGAGCGATGCAAGCTGTAGTACCCTGTTCTTTTAACTTGCATTTCACTGATTCCTGGGAAGGCTGAACACTTTCTCTGATGTTTGTTGGCATTTATATTTCTTTATGCTGTCAGTTTCCTTTCACATGCTTTTTCCTTTTGGTGTGCCTGACAATTTCTTTTTGCTCTGAAAAAGTATATTATAGACTATTTGCTGCAAATTCCCCCCAATTTTACCTATTTCTTTTCTATTCCACTCGGTGGGGGATTTTTCTCTCTTGCTTTCTGTCTTTCTTTTCTAGTTAATAAGGGAAAAGGAAAGGCACCTGGGAAACCGTGGGGATATGTAGTTCTGCATGGAGAGCTGTGATTACATCTAGTGACCTTTGGAGGGGAATGACATCTCGATACTCCTTTTTAAAAATATTCTTTGTGTTTTTAGAAGTCTTTCACTTATTTATTCATCATAATGACCATATAAGGCAGCTCAGCTAAGGAGACAAAACAGCTATTAGACCATTTTATAGATGGGAAAACAAAGACTGAGATATTAAATGTCTAGCATCAGGTTATGTGACAATTCAGGGGTGAAGCTAGGACGAGGACCCCTGTCTTTTGACCCCCTGCCAGAGTGTTCTTTCCATGACAGCACCTGGCAACACATCAGGTCACCTCAATTTGTTCCAGAAACAAATGCAAATGATGCAAGTGTTAAAACCTCCCGACTTTAAATATGTAGAATTGCCCTGTCACCGACCTAGATATTACATGAGGCCCCTGAACCCCACCTAGCTTAGGAGTTAATATTTTGTTAACTTTTCTTGGGTCTGCAGGACAACCAAAGTTTTGGGCTCTTCCTTGAGGGCCGGCAGATTTATAAAACTGGCATTTCCTCTCCCGCAGACTGTCTAGGCTTTTGTTTATGAAATACTCAGCGTTTGACAAATCGAGATTTCTACTGGTCCCCAGGAAATGCTGTTCAGCGGAGCAGGGCAAGAATCCAGCGCTCTAAGTGGAAACACATGCCACAGCCTGGGTGCGAGGGGCCGGATTCCTGCAGGATGACACCAGCGTGGGGCAGACACACTGATATGGTGCTGGCCCGGGGGATTTCTCCCTAAAAGGCAATCTTTAGAGGAAGTCCTCCGTTCAGCCCCCAAAAGGCCAGGAAAGAAAATGTGCCTGCTGCACAGTGTCTGAATTCTCCGTGGGATGACTCAAGGAACCCTGCCCGCTGAGCGTTTAGTCATGTTTCCAGGAGGAGGTGGGTGGCATGCAGGGGGTCTGGCTCATCAGGGTGACACCTGGGCAGATCGGGCTCTGCAATTTGCTCCAAATACTTGCCATGTTTTTCGAGAGAAGAGGCTGCCTTCTGTATTTGCCTAGGATGTGAGTCTTCAGACTCGAGCTTTTGCCACAGCAGGACAGGGAACCACAGGAATGCGAGTCCAAGAGGGATCTGAATCCTAAACCTTTCAACAGTGAGCTTTGGCGAACAAAACCAACCACCACGGCTCGTCTCCCTGTGGTGCCCTGTTTCTCTCCTTCCTGAATTCCATCCCCCCACCCAAAGATGCAGACTGCTCCAATCAAGTTGGCAAGAGGCGGCACATGGGTCTCCTCGTGTCTCTCTCCCCGCACTTTCCGCCTCTCCCGACCCCCTGTGTCGTCTGTGAGTCGTCTGAAGGCAGGGGGTCCTGTCTTATCATCTCCATGTTCACAGCCACTGGTGGGACTGGTTTGTAAAAATTAGGTTTTTTTTTTTTAAAAAATATATCTTTATTGATTTCAGAGAGAGGAAAGGAGAGGGAGAGAGACAGAAACATCAATGATGAGAGAGTCACTGATCGAGCCCGCAACCCGGGCATGTGCCCTGACCGGGAATCGAACCCTGATCGCCTGGATCCTAGGTCGACGCTCAACCGCTGAGCCACGCCCGCCCGGGCGTGTAAAAATTAGTTTTAATGACAGAATTCACACATGAGTTCTGGCAATATTAGAGCATTACAGAGGGCGCTGAAGCCTTCTTTGATTCCCAGACCCGTCCCTGCGTCTCATCTCCTTCAGAGGTTATCACCCTTTTGAACTAAACGTGTATCTTTTTCTAGGAAAAGTTTTCCTTATATGGTTTGTGTGTGTGTGTTTAAAAGAAATACAAATGGCATCAGGCTGCCTGAACTGTGGTGTGACCTGCTTTATTCGCCTAACCAGGGGTTTGTGATCTGCCCACACTGATGCTCCCAGGTCTAGCTTCCCCTCTCCATCATTATATAGAGCACTCAGCATTCAGATGACTTCACCACCTTTTGTTTGGTCAACGCTGCACGGATGACATTTAGGTTGTTCCACTTTTTGCTTTAACGAATACGGTGACAGTAAACACCTGCGTTCCTGTAAGTCCCTTTCTAGGAAAGATGCGCGGACGTGGGCTGCTGGCTCACAGGCCGTGCAGAGCTCTAATTCTGAGAGATACGGTAGCAGGACTGTGGGTACCTGACAGGGCGTCACGGATACGTGCCCCACTTCCTTCTTTCCTGGCAGGGCAGATACAGGGTGTCGGAGGAAGAACTCGGGCCTCACAGTAGCATGCCTCACCCCACGCCTGCCCCGCCACTAACAGGCTTTGGGGTTACACATTCTCTTCCTCTCTTTGGGCCTCAGTTTCCCCACCTGTGAAAGGAGGGGGCTGGACCAAGTGTTCTCCCTCTCCAGTTCCTTTTGGTTCTCACAGTCGATGACAGAAGGATCATACCTGAGGGGTGCCCAGCCGCTCTATCAGAGGGACCAGGTGAAGCGGGGCGTACTTGGCTTCCAGGCGTTTCATCCGGACCTCCAGGCGCTCCCCCTCTGTCAAGGAGCAGTAGGTAGAGCATGAGATTCAGGTCACACGGGGGGGCAGGGAGGCTAAGGAACACTGGGAAGGGACACTCTCAGAGGACCTGGTGAGGTATCTGCATTCTCCTTGGTTCTGGCCAGTGTAATGAAGACTCAATACAAGGACAAATACTATATTCTCTCTGTCCAACAGTGGAATCATCTACGTCACAGGGTGATGAGTTTCCCATCACTCGAAGGATTCAAATCAAGGCTAGAAAGCAAGAGACTAAGGATGTTCTAGAAGGATGAAGAAATAAGACCTGGAGTATTATTTCAAATTCTCTCCCATTCTGTGGCTATCTAATAGCTGCTCGAACATTCTTCCTTTCTGACTGCAGATCTGTGTTTATTGGGATTAAGTGAACATGACGTTCAAAATCAAATTGGCTATTCAGCTGCTGTTAGTGGTTTCTTACCTTTGATGTAGACTCTTGGCAAGATGTTTTGGAAGGGTGCAGCGTGGAGCAAATCACAGACTTCCTCCTGAGACTGCAAACAGAGATGGAGGAAAAGAAAGAAAAATACATTTTCATTTTAAACCAGGAAGGATGTTTGTTCCTAAAAGTTTGAGCACTGGAGTCTGTCAGACCTGGGTACAAATCCTGGCACTTCTACTTGCTAGCTGTGGGATATCAGGCAAGTTGCTTAACCTCTTTGAGCCTAATTATTTACCTGCAAAATGAAGATGCGAACAGCACCTATTTTAATGGGCTGCTGTGAGGATTAATTGAGAGAATGCATAACTTCATAGCAAAGTCCCTGGCACATAATGAGTGTGCAACACATTTTCATTATAATCTTATAAGGAATTCACTGAAGAATTCAGATGAGTGACAGTGGGATCAAGCAGAGAATATAGGCCCCAGGCTGTGTTTGTCTGGTTGGTTGTGAGGCCTGTGGGCTTAGAGTAGGTATTTGGGCCAACCCCCCAGTTCACTAATCCAGGATGCTGCTGACCTCATAAGTTGGGAAGGGATCCCTCCTTTTCTGTTTTTTTGTAAGAGAAAGTGTGGAANTCCAGTTCACTAATCCAGGATGCTACCGACCTCATAAGTTGGGAAGGGATCCCTCCTTTTCTGTTTTTTTGTAAGAGAAAGTGTGGAACCAATATTACTTCTTCCCTATGTGTTTATTGGAATTCACAAGTGAAACCATCTGCATCTGAAGTTGCCTTGGTTAGGAGCTTTTTTTTTTTTAACTAGGTATAAAATGTCTTTAGTAGACAATGGACTATTCAGGTTATTGATTTTTCTGAGTGAGTTTTGTGTGTCTCAAGGACCTGCTCCTTTTATCTAAGTTTAATTTATGGACATAGAGTTGCTTGTAGCACGCCTTTATTATGCTTTTAATATCTGTAGGATCTATAGTGATGCCCCTATTTCATTCCTGGTATTGGTTAACTTGTGTCTTCTCCGTTTTCTCTTGGCGAGTCTGGCTAGAGTTTTATCAATTCCATTGATTTTTTCCCTCAAAGAAGCAGCTTTTAATTTCATGCATTTTTCTCTATAGTTTTTGTTTTCAATGTTACTGATTTCTGTTCTTGTCTTGATTATGTCCTTCCTTCTTCTTGCTTTGGGTTTAACTTGCTTTTCTTTCTCTAGTTTCTTATGATAGAAACCTAAACACTGATATAACAACTTCCTTTTTAATATAACATCCAGGCCACTCTTGGATACCTCCAGTAATCAAGAGCTCAGTACTCCTGCCCAATTCATTTTTGAACCACTCTAATGGTGAGAAAGTCTGATTCTGTATTAAGCCAAGGCTGCCTCCCAGTAGTCTGCAATCAAGATCCTTGCTCTGCTCGTCAGAGTATCCCTGAAGGTGTTTCTCTAGACAGTATCTTTAGTTTTCTCTTTCCTCCTTTCAGGAAGGAGCATCTAACAGGAGTTCCATGTCTCCCTCCACTTCCCGTCTTTACTTTCCCCCACAGCAAACAGAAATGCCATGCTCAGCTCCACAGCACTGCAATGACCCTGGCAAAGGTTACTGAGAACTGCTCTGCCAAGCTGAATGGATACCTTTCCGACCCCATCTCATGGCATCGCTAATGGATTAGGCACTGTCCTCCCTCAGCCACTGTGACGAGTCCTGCGGCCTTCTGTCATTTCCATTTCTCCTTTTTAGACTTTTTGGCAGGTGTGACTTCTAACCACCCCTTAAACGTTGGTTTCCTCCAAGGTCCCACTATTTTTTTCCTGCTCAGTTTATCCTACCTGGTTTGTTTCCCCTACTCCCATGAGTACAAGCGTCGCCTTCAATGCATCAACCCTATTTCCAGCCAGACTCCTCTCTCACGCTCGACTCAGGCATCCCGCTGCGTGCTGGCTCTCTCCACTTGGACGAGCCACAGCCCAGCATTTCTAAAGCAGGCTTCCTTTTCCCCCGGTCACCTGGGGTTCCTTTGCTCAAAGAATGGCACCATCATCTCCTTATCTGCCCGAGCCTAAAACCTGGGGCTGGTTTTCTGTCTCTTCTTCATTTCTCATCACCAGCTGGTCCTCATGCCTCCTGATTCTCTCCATGTCTCTCCACACTGACCACAGTGCTACGATCTCCTTAAGGGCAGGGATGCTGACTCTGTATTGGATTATTCCCGGTGCCTAGGACATAACAGTTTCTCAATAATTTTTATTAAGTGAATGAATATTTGTTATCCCTCATGTTTCTTAGATGAATAAGTGGATGCACTTATCCACATGACTATCCTCCAGATACAAGAATGCTATTACATCCATTCATCCGACAAGTACATACTGAGCACTAGGCACTGTTCTAGGCTTTGCAGATATGATGTTGAACAAGTTAGACTAGATCTTAGCACTTATGGAATTTACAGTCTAGTTCATAGAGACAGATAAAAGCAAGTAAATAAGTCAGGAAACTTCACATAGTGATAAAACACAATAGGGTAATAGGCTAGAGAGTGACTGGGAACGGAGAAGGGGACCACTTGAGAGAAGGTGGTTAAGGAAAATCTGCTTTGGGAAGAAGACATTTAAATAAAGAATGGAGTGAAGTGAGGGAGTCAGCCATGCAGATATGAGGTAAGAGCATTCTAGTGCAAAGGGCCTGGGGCAGAAAGTCAGCTGGAGTGTAGTGATGCAAGGAATCATAGCCCCCTGAGAGTAGGGGGGGGACCAGTTCATGTGGGGCTCACTGGCATGATATGAAGCCTGGGTTTTACCTGAAGGGCAATGAGGTATACTACTGAAGTATTCCAAGCAGAGAATTGGTACACATAACCCCACTGCCAATTTTTCTTATCTTTCTTGTTTTCTTCCAAAATTGATCTTGGGAGACACTTAGGGGATGGAATACTAGGAAGAAGGCTCCGGGCCCTCTACAGGAAGAGCAATGCTGCTGATTTATTCCATGATGAGCTTCCACTTCTGGTTTCTTCAGGGGCGATGAGGGTTCCGTTTACCGCCTCCGCACGCCATCACCGCACCGAGTCCGCAAAGTGCAGGGCTCCAAAGGTGCCTGCGGGGAGGCGGGTTGATGCTGGCACGTTTCCTGTGTCTTCTCCACCTTACAAAGCCTGCTAATCAAAGTGAGGAAAGGGAAGGATGTGGTTCCCTGGTAAAGGCGGGAAAGCACTTGCCTGGAGCTCCCAGAGGATGAGCTATGTGGCCAGTTGCGCAGGGACGTGGCTCATACTCTGCAACACCTTTTGTGGAAGGTGTCTGCTTGCTGAGGTCATGGCGATGATAAAAGTGTCCAGTTCAGTTCGGAGCACACAAAGGCCCGAGTCAGGAATCCAAACAAGCGTCCGCTGTGGGCGCTGATGCTAACGGCTGACCTCCCTCTTGTCCAATCTTAAAGGATCCGCACTTGGCCTTTGACTCTGCCCAGGAACCCACCTGGCCACTGGCATGTGAAGTCCACTGAAAGTGTGTTTCTTCCGCACTTGGGCCCTTGGCGCCCCCTGCTGCAGCCAGGGCAGCTTTTTGTTATCTGAATGCGCTGTCTGTGGGCCCATCACAGAATTTTCACCCTCTCTTTGGAAGGCTCCCTAACTGATCTCTTTCCCCGCTTTGCTTAGTTAGCTTGCACTCTTCTTTCAAATCTCAATTCAGCATCCTTCCTTCCTGGAAGACTTCCTTGAGCCCCTCAATACCTCCTTCACCATGCAGGTTCTTTGTTTTATGTCCTCAAGGAGCCCACTTCTTTTCTCTTGCAGCATTTGAGCTCAATCTGTATTTTTCATGCCTACGTGTCACTATTTGACTAATGCCTACCTCCCCCTACTGGAATGCAACCTTCATGAAGGTAGGGACAATGTCCATTTTTGACCATATTTTATTCCCACGAATCGTAAACACAGTGCCTAATAGATGGTAAATGCTCAATAAGTATGTGGAACAAAAGTTAAATGTCTGGAATGTACAGGAATTGAGACTTAGAACAGAATCTCTCCTATTTTTACAGGGGCCTAGATGTTTCCCCTTATCACCAAGGGAGGTATTTCCTCTTGATGTTACTGATTACCCTGCATGAGCTATGTGAGGCATTGCTAAGAAATGCTCCATGGAGTGAGGTTTTCAATGGTTTATTTTATATTTTCTATCCCTCTCTTCCTTTCTCATTTGTTCCTCCTAGTATGTATTTACTCAATTTTTGACACTGAACATATATTACTAAAAAAAAAAATTAATGTAAAAACAACAAATAAAACCCTTCTGGAAGTAACTAATTCTTCTTAACTCTAAAATAAGAAGCTTTTGGCCTGGCCAGTATGGCTCAGCGGTTGATCACTGTTAGATTCCCGGTCAGGGCACATGCCCGGGTTGTGGGCTCGATCCCCAGGAGGGGGCAGCCGATCAATGACTCTCTCATCATTGATGTTTCTATTTCTCTCTCTCTCCCTCTCCCTTCCTCAGTCTGAAATCAATAAAAACATATTTAAAAAAAATAAAAATAAAATAAGGAGCTTTTGGGGTCTGATGCTGGAATCAGAGGGAAGGAATCCTAGCATGCCACTTGGTCCAGCAGGGAACAATATCCACATAGATTTAATAATGTAAATAGTGTATGTTTTTATTTTGTTTTCTTCTCTCAGGCTACATTTGATAAATCACAAGTACAGGACAAAATACAAATGTTACAAAAAATATAGCTGTGAAGATATAAAACTAAAAGCACAGCTAGCAAGAGGTAGGGAGTGGAAGTATTAGGAGTGTTAATTTTCTCACCTTCCATGGAAAGGCGTCAGCATACCAAATAATGTTACTAAAAGAAGCAAGAGGGGTGTAATGTAAGTGTATCGTTGCAGATTACATGGGAAAACAACAGAAGTAATAAGCAATATAATTAAATATTGAGAGGAAGAGTGGGGAGGGATGCAAATGAGCTAAAATCCCCTCTTTCCAACTAGGGAGTCAGTAAGTATTGTCTAAAGTGGCTAATTAAGGAGTAGGGGTCAGCCTCCCTCCTATTATTAAGCATTATGGAGATAACTAGAAGAACATAGAAGAGAAATGATGAGA